AACTTTGAACGTATTAATACTAATAGGTCTTGGTGTAGCTCTGTTTGTGTTCATCTTGTTTGGGACCCTCTGTGCTTCCTGCACTTGGATACCTGTTTCATTCTTTAGAGACAGGAATTTTTCAGCCATAATTTCTTCAAATACATTTCCGATCTTTCTCTGTTCTTTCTTCCCCGTCTGGGGCCCCTGTTGTGCATAGACTGGCGCACTGTGTATTATCCCTTAGGGCTCTTGTATTGCTTTCAGTTTTTTTCTTTTTTCTGTCTACTTTTCTGATTAGGTTTTTCCCATTATCCTGTTTTCTAAATCACCTACTTGTTCTTCTGTATTACTTGGTCTGCTTTTGACCTCTTTTAGATTGGCTTTTATCTTGGCAGTTGAGTTTTCTGATTTTAATTTTCTCCTCTTTATAGTTTCTATTTCCTTTTTCAAATATTCTGCATTTTTGTTGATAGCTCCTTCTGTGTCCTCCAGAGCATTTATCCCCTCCTTTTTTAACTCAAGTTCTGGTAGACTGTAGAGGTCTATCTCTTGGTTCATTCTTTCGGGGGATTTCTCTTGTTCTTTTAACTGGGAGTGATTCCTCAGCATCTTCATTTTACTTTCTCTAACTCTATGGATTTAGGAATAATAGTTACCTACTGTAGTCTTTTTATGAGGACAAGCCCGCGTGTAGACTGTGTGCATCTGATATTTTTGTTGTGAGAGCTGCTTTTAGTGTGGATGGTTGCTGTGCCTGTCCTGCATGTGTGCTGGCTGCTACCCACTAACTGGGGATGTGGCTGGTGATGAGTTTTCCAGAGCCTGCCCTGGGATGTTGGGTGGGGCCTCCTCTTTGCTCTGTAGTTGTCACATCACTGTTAGTGGCTGGGTCTGCTCCCCAGTTCTTGGAGTAGAAACCCCTAGGTCAGTTTGACTGCTGTGCGTGATTGGTGGGGCTACCCTGCTTCCACCTGGAGAGGAGATGTCCCCTGGGAGGTGCCCTTTGTGGTGTCATCGCCTGTCCCTCATTACACACAGCTTGTTAATAATAGGGCTTTCAGGATCAAGCCACATCCTGTGGGCTTGCAGAGAAGGAGTTTGCCATGGGGCTGTTGCACAGCCCCTTTGCGAGAGTGCATTCACCATGAGGTCTTCATGGCCGAGCAACGCCCTGTGGGCTCGTAGAGGAGGAGGCCGCTATGGCAGCGTCACCTTAGTCAACTGGGGAGTCTCTCCAGTGGGCCTGGGCTCTCCTGGACACACTCCCCCCGATGCTGCCTCTGTGCCGTCAACTCCAGGTCTCTTCCTGGCTCCATTCTCTGCAGCCCGAACTCAGCACTCCATCCCGGCACAGCCTGCTCGCCCCTCGGGCTAGGGACCCCATGGACTCCCTCTGCCCTGGTTTCTCTCCATTTTGTCTGCCCCAAAGCGGGCCTCTGCTCGCCTCTGGCCTCTGAAGCTTTCCTTCCATCCTGTGACCCCCTGCTGCAGAGGGGGCTCTAGTGTGAGGGCGCCCTTCCTCCTCTGCCGCTCCCTCCCCAGAGGACAGGACCTGCCCTGATGTCCTTTTGCTTTTGCTTTTTTTTTTTGGTAAAGATTTACATTGTAGTTCCACTTGCACGAGATCTTCCGTCAGAGCTTGGTGGGTGTTGTGTGAAAACTATTCCACGTGGAGGTGTATTTTTGATGTGTTTGTCAGGGAGGTGAGCTCCATGTCCTTCTACTCCACCTTGAAGCCCCTCCCCGAGGCTTAGAAACAGATAGCCTTATTCCAGCCGACAGTCAAGGCTTTCCCAAGCTGCATTTCTGTCAGTTTTAGAGCCCAAATGAACTTGCTCAAAAATGGGCACGTTGGGATGGAGAATCATCATATTCTAAGGATCAAACATCTATTGGCAACTGAAAGTGCTTTTTAAAACCCCAAGAGTATATCTTCAGTTAGGGATTGCCTCTTTTGTTCCTGTTGCCTCTCTTTTCTCAGAGGTTCCAGTAGGCAAAAATCACGAATTATGGAGTCTTGTCCTCTTTTCAATATTCAAAAAACCTAAATAACCAGCCACCCCTGGTGTGAAGTGCCAGGAGGATGTGTCCTGTTAACACTTTCCTTTGCAGCTTTCCCTGATCAGGATGATGTCTAGCATTTGTGACATTTAAAACATGGAACATTCCATGTCAATTTTTATCATATATTCACATCCAGTAGCTACAAAATACAAAGCCATGAAAATAATTCCCCTTTTGTCCTCGTTGCACATTTATACTAGCTGCAAACTTAGCATTTACAGGGTTAACATTACGGCTGCAGGGGAATCACAGGTGAGACTCACGGGAACTGGTCGGAGCTTCAGCAGTGGCAGGGCGGGGCTGAAGGGAACACTGGCGTCCCTCCTCCTCCACCTCCATGCCCGCGTCTTCCTCTGGTTTATTTAAAGCGTTGTTTCAGCTCTAGGAGCTGCTGTAACTTTTCTTTTTCCACCCAGAGGAGAGAGAAACAACAAACTAATTTTTATTGCCTTTGGCCCATCCAGGGCTCACTTTTGGGAAATTTTCCAGTCCTCTCTCCTCCCACTTGGTGGAGAGAACAAAAACCAGAGACGTCACCCAGGCTGCACCTTTTCCCCTCGCTTTACTCAGCGCCAGAAGAGCAGCCAGGGGATCCAGTAAGTCAGTTCTTCTGGAGTTGAATGTACCCTTTTCAAACTCCGTAGGTACCTTTACCTCTCACACCAGGCAGCGGCCCAGCTGCTGTTTCATACAGAGCAACTGCCTGGTGGTCAAAAGTTAGTCATATCCCATCCCAGCCTTTCATGACTCCTTTCCCCCCTATTGTAGTGAGTCAGGGGCCATTGTAGTGAATCTCACTTCTGATGGCAGCTGTTTTGGGGATCCCCAAGAGCATCCTTAGATACAGTGATTTGCTAGGAGGAGTCAGAGGACTCAGTACACAGTCATCATGGTGTTACAGGGAGAGGATACAAAGCAAACTCAGTAAAGGGAGAAGGCATGTGGGGCAAAGTCTGGGAAAAATCGGGTATCGGCATGTCTGAGTCCTGTCTCAGTGAAGCCACACTGGATGCTCTTGCTCCCTCCAGCAGTGCACTGTGACAGCACAGGTGCAGTGCTGTCCACCAGGGAAGCTCCTGAGACACTCAGTACCCAGGGCTGTTACTGGTGGGTGGTCAAACAGACCGAAAACCAGACTCCTAGAAGGAAAGCAGGTGTTCAGCACAAACCCCATTGTTTGTACAGTCTGGGCCCAGGGAGGCACTCTGGCAAGTTTCAGCATGGTGGGAACCCTGGCAAGTTCCCGGACGCCAGCCGGGAGCCAGCCTTATAAGGAGGACCTCCCGAGGCTGGATGTCTCCACGCGGCTCACCTCCTTTCTGCACACTGTGTAAGACTCTCAGTGCAGAGTAAGCGTAGGGAGGCTTGAGGTCTCAGCCTTGGGGAAGCTGAGGAGGACAGTGCTGCAGCTCCAGCCTCCGTCTCAGTTTGTTCTATCTGTAACTCTTAACAATCATGTCAAACTTTGTATCAACCCAACAATTTCCCTCCCTTCTTTTGCTGCAGAGGCCAGCTGTAGAGCAGCTCATCCCGGCAGTTTTCTCCAGCCCCTTTCAGGCTTTGGTGTTGGCCTGGGAACTGCCAGCCATACTCATGCCATTTTTTCCAGACTTCACTGAATCTGACCTTTTTCTCCTTCTTTAGGTAAAGAGTGCTCTAGCCACCTACTTACAACTTACTGCTCCATGTTTGCCTTTTGTAGCAAATCTCTTGCTCAAGGATATCTAAGAAATCTTCCTCTTTCTGGGCTCTTGTCTCTGGATTGATTATGTGGCTGTCCCATCTACCTGGGAGTCCCAAAGCCAGTGTTTGCTCATTTTGGTAGGTTGGGCTGGATCCCAGAGTTACTGGCTGAAGGGCCGTGGTGGCCTGGAGCTGGTGTCTGCTTGCTGGTGGGTGGGATGGGTCCTACCACGGCAGGCTGTAGGCTGTGGTGGTCCTGGGGCTGGTATCTGCTCAGTGATGGACAGGGACATGTCCCAAGGTGGCTGTGAGCTCAGGGGGTCTTAAGGCAGCTGGTGGTATGCTCCTGCCTGGAGAGCTTCCTGTTACTAGGTGTCTGAATTCTGGTGCTGACAGATGGGTGGGTAGGGCTGGGTCCCAGTGCTGGCGAGCTAGAGGCCATGTTCCAAAGTGGCTCCCGGCACCACCAGTGCCACGTGATGGAATGAGCTCACTCAAACGGCCGCCAATGTCTGTGTCCCCGTGGGGAGCTCTGATGCCTCCTGCCTCTGCAAGGCTCTCCAAGATTAGCAGGTAGGTCTGACCCAGGCTCCTTTCAAGTTACTGCTTCTCCCCTGAGTCCTGGGGGCATGAGGTTGTGTGTGTTTCCTTTTAGAGTGGAGTCTATCTCCCGTAGCCCACTGACTCTCCCAAAAGTGAGTCCCACTGACCTTCAAAGCCACATGCTCTAGGGCTCATCCTCTTAGTGCATGACCCCTGGGCAGGGGAGCCCGAAGTGGGTTTGGCCCCCTGGCTCCTCTGGGAGAACCTGTGCACACATAACTGTCTTCCCTGTGTGGCCTGTCCGCTCGGGGTGCACGTCTGCATTGTACCATGACTCTGCCCTTCCTGCTTATTAGCTTGTTGTGGTTCGTCCTTTGTGTCTTTAGTGGGTCTTTTCTGTTGATCTTCCTGCTTTTCCCATCAGTAGTTGCTCTGTAAATAGGTATGATTTTGGTGTTCCTGTGAGGGGAGGTGAACTCAGGGTCTCCCATTCTGCATCCTGGCCACGCTGAGAGCCCATGTGTGTGTCTGGAAGCCCAGCAGGTGTCTTGGCTTCCTATCCAGCATCCCTTCATGTTTGTGTTAATACTCAGTAATGAACACCTGTAACTGTGTATTCACTATTCTTATAGATTGTGAACATGAGTCTTCAGTTATAAATAAAAAATGTTCTTCAGATAACCTAATACAGACGTTTAGTAATTCTAAAGCTCAGAGAAGGGAAGAGCTAGCCCTGATACTTAAGATCTTTCACAGATCCTCGAGTCTCAAGATGGATCACATTTTCTGAAGAGTTCAGATGACGTTTTAGCTGATGGAGATCTCTTCCATATACTTTCATCAGAGACCCGTGGTAAATCATTTACAAGAGTATTACCGAGCAAGGAAATGAAAGATTCACAGTCTCCCAGAGCATCACTTCCAGGGAGTGACAGACCAGCAGTACCATTCGTCGCCCCCACTGTTGTTATTAAAAGAAAGCCACTGGAGACTGACATCTCAAAGGTGAGACACAGTGCAGTAACTTGGAAGCTATTCATTTTGTGTTGCTAGACCCCTTCAGTGCTGTTGGTAAATGTTATTCAAAACATCAATATTTCTTACTTAAACAGAATAAAACGTTTGCCTTTGGATACAACCTGTGTTACGTTTAGGATTTTAAAGTGATACTTGGGAATCAAGGGAATAGTTTGAAATAAAAATTGTAATCTGTATCAACAAAGAAGTTGTGGCTTAGAGCTTTAATGATAAATTAAAAGACACAATTTCTGACTGAGACAGGGAAATTTTTATTTCACGTTAATACACAAAAATGAGTTTTCTTTGTTAAGGTATTTGTGAAAGCATAGTCATTTTGAAATAACTTTATATGCCTTAAACGAACCCTAGAAAATTATTAGAATTGCTTTTGTTAAAATAGTGTTTAATTAAGAAATTCTTGGTGTAAAAATTCTGGGAAGAAGAGAAGTGAAACTATGGCCATACATATTTAACATATGGTCACAATGTTTTTACTGTAGAAGTTATTAAAGTGGCCTTATAAAAATAATTTTGTAAAGCTGCTTGAGTTTGTCTAGAGATTGAATCACGTGAAGATATAAATCTAAGCTAGAATCATAATAAAAAGTTATTGACACGATTTGTTTGGAATGATTTAAGAGGAAGAGCCCAGTAGTGCTCAGGACCCCGCCACACTCCTAAGTTTCCCAGATGCCAGGAAGAAGTGAAAAGTCAAATGTTTCTGTGATGACAGAGCAGATATCAAAGATGGTAATTAGAGTTCTGAAATGTATAATCTGTGGTTATTTTAACTTTTGTTCTTAAGGCTACCATTTCAGAAGAGAATTTACAAAGTAAGACTGAAAAACAGACTTACCAAGAAGAAAGAGAATTGGATGGTAAGAAGATTTCCTGTTTCATAAGATAAAAATGTTAATGATTGTGTGTTCCCATATTATAACTCTAAATAAATGAATTGAGAACATGACTTAAACGGAGAAATAACTTCTTAGATAGTCGTAAGGTAATATACAAGTATATTGACCAGTATATAAAAATTAACCTGCCGAGTTAACATATTACTCAGTCTATCTCCACTAAAATTTATGTAAAAGGGCCTTGATGGCTCTGCCTCAACCAAATGACAGCGTTGAGTGTTGTGAGTCCTTAACGTGGTATTACGCCAAAGGCCATCAGGGTACAGCAGGAAAAAAGGTGACTTGAGTAATTACTTCTTTAGCTTGATTCTTTAGGTGTTTTATGTATAATATATTTTTAAAATAGTAAATCTGTTCCTTTTTTCCAACATACATAGCTTTTGTGACCAACCCTTGTCTGATTGCATTGGCCTGGACTTCCAAAATAGAATTAAATGATTGTGATGCAGAGGGAAGACTATGCTCTTCTTTTGTGCACTGAAGCAAGAATGCCTTTACCTGTCCCCCTAGGATGATTGGTTGTCTGAGATGAATATGTCTTCTTATGGTCAGGACACTTTCTTTTGTTCATGGTTTTTAAATGGATTTTTACCAGTAGTTGAACAGAATTTATAATCAATTGACAAAAAAATTTTTTTCATTGTGGTAAAATATAATAACATAAAGTGACATTTAATCATCTTTAAAGTATATGATTCAGTGGCATTAAGTACATTCACAGTGTTGTGCAGCCGTCACCACATCTGTTTCCACCACTTTCCATCACCCAGTAAGGAACTTGTTGGGCAATGACTCCCATGCACGCCTCCATCCAGCCCCCGCTCACCTCTAACTTGACTTTCTGTCTCTGTGAACTTGCCTGTTATGTTTCATATAAGTGGAATCATACAATATTTGTCCTTTTGTGTCTGGCCTGTTTCACTTAGCATAATTTTTTCAAGGTTCATCCACATTGTAGCATGTGTCAGAATTTTATCACTTTTTATGGCTGTATGTACATACCACATTTTGTTTATCCGTTCACCTGCTGATGGACTTTTAGGTTGATTCCCCCTTTTTGGCTATTGTTCATAATGCTGCAATGAACATGGTGTACTGTATCTGTTTAAATCTCTGTTTTCAGTTGTTCATATAGGAGTGTAACTACTGGATCATAAGGTGATTCTGTTCGGCTTTGGGAGGACCTGCAACAACTGTTTTCCATAGCGACTGCACCATTGTGTGTTCCAGTAGCAGAGTACAAGGAGTCGCATCCTTGCCAGCGCTTGCTTTCCTTTTTCTTTAAGTTGTGATTCTCGTAGGTGTGAAGTATATCTCATTGTGATTTTGATTCACATTTCTCCGATTACTAAAGATGTTAAGCGTCTTTGTGTGTGCTTGTTGGGAATTTGTTGGTAATCTTTGGCAAAAGATTGGAAAAAATGTCCATAGAACTCCTTGACCCATTTTTTAATTGAGTTGTTTGTTTTGCTGAATTGTAGAGGTTCTTTATATATTCTGGATATTAAACCATTTTTGGCTATTAGGGACCCTTTGCAATTGCATATGAATTTTTGAATCAATTTTTTTCCATTTTTGCAAATAGGCCTTTCAGATTTTGATAAGGAATGCACTCAATCTATAGATGGCCTTGGGAAGTATTGCCGTCTTAATAACACTAGTCTTCCGATCCATGAACCCAGGGTGCCTTTCCATGTATTTAGTTTACTTTAGCAATGTTTGGTAGTTTTCAGTGTATAGTTCTTGTAATTCCTTGGTTAATCGTTTTCCTAAGTATGCTACTCTTTTTGATACTCTAGTAAAGAGAATTGTTTTCTTTATTTTTAGATTACTCATGGCTGATGTTTAGAAATTACAACTGATTTTCCGTGCTCATCTTGTATTCTGAACCTTTGCTGAATTTATTAACTTCAGTGTTTTTATGCAGGGTCTTCGGGGTTTTCTGTACATAGGATCACGTTACTGTGAATAGAGATAGTTTCACTTCTTCCTTGCTATGTTGGCTGCCTTTGATTTCCTTTTGTTTTCTCATTGCTCTGGCTAGAACGTCTAGTACAGTGTTGAACAGGGGTGGGAGAAATGGAGGTCTTTGTCTTGTTCCTAGTCTTCGTGGGGAAGTTTTCAGTTCTTCAGCATTGAGTAGGATGTTAGCTGTGGGTTATCATAAATGCCTTTATCATGTTGATATTTTATTCTCAGTGTCCTTTTTTTTTTTTTTTAAAAAAAATCATCACGGGGTGTCAGATTTTGTCAAGTGTATCTTCCGCATTTGAGATGGTTACATGTTTTTTCCCTTTGCTCTCTTAACGTGGTGTATTACATTGGTTTTCTTATGTTGAAGCGCATTTGCATTCCTCGAGTAGATCTCATTTGGTCTTGGTATATAGTCCATTTAATATGTTACTGGATTTGGTTTTCTGGTATTTTGTTGAGTTAATTTTGCATCTGTATTTATAAGGGATATTGGTCTGCAATTTTCTTTCTTTCTTTTTTTTTAATAGTGTTTTTATCTGGCTTCAGTAACAGGTAATGTTGGACTCCTAGAGTGATTTAGGAAGTTTTCCCTACTACTCTGTTTTTTGAAAGAATTTGAGAAGGATTGGTATTAATTTTTCTTCAAGAGTTTGGTAGAATTAACCAGTGAAGCCATCCATTCTTAGACTTTTTTTCATTGGGAAGGTTTTGACTGTTGATTCAATTCCTTACTAGTTATAGGTATTTTCAGATTTTCTCCTTCTTCATGGTTCAGTCTTAGTAGGTTGCTGTTTCTAAGGATTTGTTCATTACATTTTGATTATTCAATTTGTTGGCGTACAGTGATTCACAGAATTGACTTAAAATCTTTTTTGTTTTGTAAAATTGATTCTAGTGTTCTGGCCTGCATTTCTTGTTTTAGCTGTTTGAGTTTTCTCTCTTTTTCCTTAGCTAATCTAGCTAAAAGATTGTCCGTTGTATCCTTATGTTGAATTTGGCTGGCTTGTACCCATTTCCATGAATAGAATAAGGTTTAAGTGATGCCCTGCGCCTTCTTCATGGCTCTTTTGGAATTTGCTTAGTTTCGGCAAGCTCACGTTACAGGGAAGGCCACACACAGGTCTTCTGATCAGTAGTCCCAGTTGAGGCAAACATGTGAGTGATGAAACTTCTAGCTTACATTGTACTTCCAGGTACAAAAGTTTTATTTTGATTAAGTCCAGTTTATCTGCATTTTCATTAGTCACATGGACTTTTGGTGCCATATGCAAGAAACTATTGCCTAACCTAAGGTCGTAAAAATTTACCCTTATATTTTCTTCTAAGAGTTTCATTATTTTGACTCATATTTATGTGTACGATCCACTTTGAGTTGTACATAGTGTGACACTGGGATCCACTTCATTCTCTTACATGTGGGTATTTAGTAGTTCCCACCATCATTTGTTGGAAAGAGTCATCTCTCCTCACTGATTTTCCTTCATGCCCTTTCGGAAAATCAGTTAATCATAAACGTGAGGGTTTATTTCTGAACTCAGTTCTATTCCATCAGTATCTATGCCTGTGCTTATTGCTAATACCACATTATTTTGATTATTATAGTAAGTTTTTAAATTGGGAAGTGGGAGTTCTCCAACTTTCTTCTTCTTCGAGATTGTTTTGGGTATTCTAGGTCCCTTAAATTTCCGTATAAGTTTTAGTATCACCTTACCCTTTTCTGCAAAATAGCCATCTGGGATTTTGCTAAGGATTAAACTGAGTCTGTAGATCATTTGGAGTGTATTGTGATTTTAACAATATTAAGTCTAATGTATCCATAACCAAGGATGTCTTTCATTTTATTGTATCTTATTTAATTACTTTCAGTGATGTTTTGTAGTTTTCAGTGTACAAGTCTTAAACTTTTTGTTAAATATATTAAGTGTTTTGCTGATTTTGATAGTATTGTAAATGGGATTATTTTTCTTAATTTTATTTTCCAGCTATTTCTAGTGTATTGAAGTCCAATTGAGTCAGTATATTGATCCTATAATCTGAAACCTTTGCTAAATGTATTTATTGAAGTAGATTTTGGGTCTTTTGATTGTGTGTGTATTTCTATTTACAACACCTACAAGAAGAGAGTTTAATTTTTTTCTTTACAGTATTGCTCTTTTATTTCTTTTTCTTGCCCAGTTGCCCTAGCTAGGAACTCTATTACATTTTGTCTTTTATTCTGTTAATAAGGTTCAGTACATTTAGTGATTTATTTTTGCTTATTATAAAGCAACCACGTGTTTCTGGGGTTGTTAATTTTCTCTGTTGTTTTTCTCTTCTCTATTTTACTTATTTCTGCTCTGGTTTTTGTTTCTTGCTTCCTTTTGCTTGCTTTGGGTTTAGTTTGTTTGCTGATTGTGGGCTCTCTTGTTTTTCAAAATGAGGTGTTTGAAGCTATACATTTTCCTCTAAGCACCACTTTAACTGTTCCATGAATTTTGGTATATTTTTGTTTTCCTTTATTTCAAACTGTTTCCTAGTCCCCTTGTGATTTCTTCTTTGACCTATTGGTCATTTAGGAGTGTGCTGTTTAATTTTTACTTATTTGTGAATTTCCCTGATCTCCTTCTGTTACTGACTTCTGATGTCATTCTACAGAGTGTAAAGAACCTACCTTATATGATGTCAATCCTATTAAATTTATCGAGGTTTGATTTATAGCCTAGCATAGTGTGTATCTTGTCGACTGTTCCACATGCATTTGAGAAGAACAGGTGTTCAACTTTTGGTGGAGGGATATAAATATCTGTAGACCTCTGCAGGGCTCTGGTTAATTTATAGTGTTGTTCAGTCATTCTGTCTCCTTCTTGATCTTAGTTGCTTTATCCATTAAATTGGGGGTACTGAAATCTCCAAATATTATTGTTCAAATGTCTGTCTGTAATTGCGTATGGTGAACGTGAATATCACACATAAGATTTTGGCCTGGAGCCGGACTCCTCAGTACACACACACACACACACACACACATTCATACGTATATATACCTACATGCACATATATGCGTATACATATAAATAGCCATGTTTAGAAATCGAGAGTTCTCATGAGCATCTTCAATTCAGTCCACCCCCTCCGGTCGTGCTTTTCCTTTCCTTTCTTTTGTATGTTTATGTCCTTTCTTCCACAGTGCACTGTGCTTGACTCTGAACAACAGCATCACATCTACGCATCTGATGTATCCTATAATGCTGCTAAGTTTGTTTCAGAGTTGCTCACCACATCGCCTTAGGAAAACCAACCTGCTAGAAAGATTTCATGACTCTGTCTGCATCTCGCGCTCTTGACTCAGCCAGGCTGTGCGCCAGATTTGTACTCTTGGGTTACTTAAATTAGTGCTTTGTTTGTCCCTTCAGAAGATTTGTTTGTTTATTTATTTTCAGTTTTGCTTCCCTTTTATTATTCTATTAATTTAATTTTATTTTGGGGGGAATATGTACAACATTAACCTACTTCTCAAAGTATAATTATGCAAAAGGTATGTAGTTGCCCCCTCGGTATCCACAGGGGTTGGTTCCAGGACCCTCCTGGGTACCAGTGTCCACAGATGCTCAGGTCCCTTGTGCAGAATGGTGTAGTGTTTGCACAGGACCTGTCCTCATCCTCCATATACTTTATTTTTTTCTCCCATGTACTTTAAATCATCTCTAGATGGTAATACCTAAGACAATGTAAATGCTATGCAAATAGTTATAAATACAATGGAAATGTTATGTTGCTGGCACATGGCAAATTAAGGTTTTCATTTTTGGAACTTTCTGAAATTTTTTTCTGGGTATTTGCAATCTGCAGTTGGTTGAATCTGCGGATGTGGAACCTGCAGATGCAGAGGGCAGCTGTCCTTAGAGAAATACCTCCGGCATTCCTTCCCTTCACAGTCCCCAGGCCTCCTGTACCACCCCCTTGAAGGGAACTAAGTATATTGCTTTCTGACTTATCTTTCTTGTGTTTCATTTTGTAAAAGTAAATGTCTGTTTCTTTCCATTCCACCCCCCTCCTTTCCCATTTGTTCTTACTCAAAAGATAGCATACTGGGTGTCCTCTTTTTCATTTTTTTCACTGCACATTATGTCCTGGAAATGATAAAACAGCTTAAAACACAACCTCATTAAAACTGTTCTCACAATTTTCGTGCCAGATCTAGCATTATGGTAAATTAATTATAACTATAAAAATGAAACAAAATGCGGCTGTGTACTTGTTTTACATCTAGAGATTTCTCAGTAAATCTGTTTTTCTGTTTAGTGGACTAAATGAGTCTCTTTATGCAGCTCAGGATGAGGAGTCAGATGGCAGCCTTCTGCCTGAGAATGAATTACTGTCAAAACCTGACACAGCAATGTTGAGACAAAGAGGAAACAGACGCACTGGTAAGAATGATAATCATGGGTATCTTTAAATTATTTTAAGTTAAGTTTATCAAAAGATCTTTTTTTGCTTTGGATTTCTTTAAATAATGGGTAAAACAACTAAGATCAAGAAGGAAATAGAATAATTGAACAACACTGTAAAAAATGTTTGTTTGTGCATGTATTTTGTAGACAGTTTACACTTTGATGTTAATTATGAATACCCTAAGATAACTAAAGAACTGACATGGAAGCTTTGGTACCTTTTGTTTGGTATTTGCGTGGTGAGTATAACAAGACTGTGTAGCAAGACTGCCTCCACACACACTCGTGAAAACTACTGACACCAGTTTCCCACTTGACTATCATGGTCTGTTCAAGTAGATAGTTTGCTGCTGTAGCTTTGCAGTCCTTTTCCTGTAAAGTTGCACAAATTAGAAGACATTTTGCTGATTACTTGGCATATCCAGAAGTTTCATAATAGATCTGTTTTTCTGTTTAGGATTTCTTATAACTAAGCCAAATGATACGCTGTCTGTTAAAGATCAATGGCCTGAGGACATAATTTTAATGTTAAGAAGCCAACTTCAAATTAAGAATCTCAGAGCTGCCGGAAGTGACAGTTTTGATAGTAAGTAACTAACTTAAACTCTTGTAAAATTATTTTCAACTAAATTCAGCAGAGCTTTGTTCCATGGTTCATGGATATGTCTCCCACTATTTTGCTCATTGGTGATTTATCTGTGTGCTCTATAATTCCTGAGTTAGCTGGGTTAAATTCCCTGCTAAGATTATGGATTTCTCTCTTTCTTCTTATGTTTGGTCAAGTTTTGCTTTATATCTTACCATACTTCATTATTGACATTTACATAAATTTAAAATTAATAGCTCTCCTAAAGGACAGATCTTTTTATCCCAGTGAAGGGAACTCCTTTATCATTTTTACAGTTTTTGTTTGTATTTTTTTACCTTAAAAAACTACCATGCTTGCTATTAATGTGACCCTAACGTCTGGCTGGTTGTTTGCATGACACATTTTTTCTATCCTGTTGCTTTAACCTTTTTGTATCATTACGATTTTTCTGTGTCTCTAGTATATAGTATAGTATATAGTATGTAGTATAGCTTGTACTGTATATTTTTCAAATTCAGCCTGATTCTTTGTCTTTTAATTAGCACTCATAATCACACTTGGTCAAATTTTGATATTCTGAGATTTAAGTTGTACCATTTTCTTTGTGCTTTCTGCCTGATAAGTTTCTTTTAGTCTCGTTTCTGCTTTTTATTTTTAAATTGTTAACGTATTTTTTCTTAGACATATCTGGTAACCCTAGTTTAAACTTTATTATAAAGTGTGAACATGCCAAGAAAACTAGAGAATATCAGCCAATATTAAATGATTAGTTAAAATTTTTTGATATGCCAGAGTATCTAAAAAATAACAAGACTGGTTCTGTTTGCACAAGTGAAAACATATATACTCACGCATGTTTATAATTAAGTAGGTAGTGTCTTTTAGTAGTTTATTACCACAAAGTGTGCTTTGCTTGTATCATTGAGCAATGTGAGAAAGTATTATTGGGTAATTAACGTGTGCTGCGTATGGTACTGATGCCACACATCTGGTTCTCTGCTTGGTGCATTTGGAAGTCTTCTTACAGCTCAGAGTGTGAGTAAAGTATCAGATGGAAGTATTTTGCCTAATACTTGGAGCTGCTAGAAAGAAAAGACTCAGTAGTAAATATGATCATTGTAAAAATTACTAATTTATTTGTTAAATTAATTGATTTTAAATTAAGTAAAATTTGAATCATGAATGTATAGCCCGATACAGCCTTATGAACATCACTGTAAAGTTTTTAAAACTTATGTTATTTAAATTTTTTATTTCTTGGTATTCTTAAATTTGTTGTTTATTCTACCATTTACTGAGTGAAGGACATTGAATTCTGTTACTATGATTTTGGATTTATCTATTTCTCCTTGTAGTACTGGGCTCTTTATACTGCCTGTGTTATTAGCTGTATACAAATTTTTAAAAGTACATATTTCTGCTGAATTCAATGTTTTATTTATATTGAAGAGACCATCTTAATCTTTGGTAAGGTCCTTGATCTTGATTTCTACTTTGTCTGACATTGACAGAACTATAGAGGATTCATTTTGGTTAATATAGGCATAACATATCTTTTTTCATATATTTTCTTTCCACCTTTCTGTATTTTGTATTTTCTACACTTCTATATGTAAACTTTGGTCGTATGTCTTACAAGCAGTTTTTAGTCAGATTGCTTATAAATCCAATGTGAATTTCCTTGTTTCTAGAACATGTAATCTGTTTACAATTATTATAACTATTGATATATTTGAATTTAAATATTTTGAAGTACTTTCTGTTTTTTCCCCACTAATCCGTTTTTCTTTTTAAAATATATGTTGAGTCATTATTTTTACTTATTCCAATTTCTAAATCAGTTATGTTTTAAAATGTGGAAACTTAAAAAAACTCAGTATGCTTAGAAAAATGAAGTCTGTTTTCAGCTTTCTAAGTGTGTGTATGAAACAGCAGTGCCTACTCCTGCTTTCAGTAAAAACACTCTCATGGTCAGTTACACTTCATAGTCCGGACTTACTTTTTAATCATTTAAAAAATTGTGGTCATTTGCTTAAATTACTGTAAAAATGAAAGGAAACTTTGGTGCTTCTTAATAATTCAGAGGCTTCAGAATAAAACAGTTTAATGTTTTAGTGGATCACCAACTCCTGAAAAAATGGACATCAGGTGGTTTTTAACCTCAAAAATCCCATCTCAAATTAAGAATCGTGGAAGCTCAAAAACTGGTTTTGACAATTTCACTATGATATGTTTGCGTGTGGATCTCTTTGAGTGCGCTTTGAGTTTGTTGAGCTTCTTTATGTGAAGATTAGAGTTTTTCATAATTGGAGACGTTAATGATTATTATTTCTTCACAAATTCTTTCTTTCTTTGCTGTTCCTCTGAGGTTCCCATTACACATATGTTGGTACTCTTGTTTCCGCCAGTCTCTGAGGCTCTGTGCATTTTTCTTCATTCCTCTTTCTTTCTGATCCTTCGACTGGACAGTCTCAGTTTACCTGTTTGGTTTCACTGATTTGTTGCCTCTTTAGCCCTGCCTTTGGTTCCCTCTTTGCATTTCAGTTATTGTTCTTTCTGCTCTAGAATTTCTTCTTGATTCTTTGAAAGATTTCTGTCATATTATTGATATTCTCTGATGGTGAGATATAATTTTTATACTTTCCTTTAATTCTTTACACATGGTTTCTTTTAGTTATTTGAACATATTTATAAAAGCTGGTTAAAAATCTTTGTCTAGTAAGTTCAGTGTTTGGGCTTCCTCACTGAAAGTTTCTGTTGACTGCTTCTATTCTGTACCGTGTATTGGCTGCTTTGTTTCTTCTCATGCCTCATTTTTTAAATTGAAGACTAGCCATTTTAAATATAATATGCAACTATGGAGATCAGGTTACTCCCCTTCCCCAGGGTTTGCTGTTATTATTTATTTTATTGCTTAGTGAGTTTATTGGACTAGTCTATAAATTCTGTACAACTATAGTTGTAAGCCTGTTGATTTACAAGGGAGCAGTGGACCTGGGAAGAGGAGAGTGGAATTAGGGGATAGTCACATGCTGGAAGGCTCACTGGTTTTACCCAGAATCAGCCATTTAAAAAAAATGCTTCTCAGATTACTGCAAGCCTTTATTTAAAACATGGAGTTCTGAAAGTGCTGACTTTGTTGGGTTTTGGCCAGTATTTTCTTTGCTTCCACGGAGGAGTAGGTTTCAGACTGTTTTTATTCTGCTAATGTATCAGTACTTTTGAGTGTTACCTTGGATGGTATGAATATTACCATTTTTGATTGTGGTTATCTTTTAAGAAGTTTTTCTTCAGAAATAATATTAAATTTATAGAAAAGTTAAAATAATTAATACAAAGAAAACCTATATGTCCTTCATCTAGATTATTAAAACTTTTTCCACTTGGTTTTTGTCTTTATCATTTGCTCTTTTATGTAGTATAATCTGTTACGTATGTGTACATGGCATGTTTTTTCTGAACTATTTGAAAGCAAGTTGCGTACATCATAGCCCTAATGCTTCAGCATGTATTTCCTAGGTTTAAGCTTATTTTCTGTATAGCCACGATACAATTTTCAATTGCAGTAAACTTAAGATTAATATAATACTTTTTTAAACCTACCATTCATAATCCAACATTTGTCATTTTACCCAATATTATCCTTTATGACATTTTTTTCTTTCCAGTACAGAATCTAGTCTAGTGTCAGGTGTTGCATGTAGTTGTTATGTTTCTAGGCTTCTTCAATCTAGAATATTTCCTTAGCTTTTCTTTGTCCTTTTTTGACATTAACATTTTTGAAGGATATTGACTAAAGAAAGGGTCCTCATTTTGGACTTGTCTGATGTAATTCTTAGGTCATCACATCCAGCGCTGCAGTGTGTATATCCGTCGTTAATTTGTGATTTTAATAATGATCACCTGTCAACGTGCTTTCTGATTTCTCTACCTTACTATTTTTTTCCTTACCTACTAATAAGTAATCTATCAAAGATACTTTAAGATCATGCAGATATCCTATTCCCTGTCAAAATTGCCTAGATTCAGGATGTGTCACAGTGCTTCCCTGAACTAATCTCTGCTTTGAAGCTTCCACAATGGTGGTTCCCCCACTCTGGCACCACCCCTGCGTTTAAGCAGTTGGCACCTGGTCTGCCCTGCCCTCACCCGCACTTCTTTCTTCCTCCACTTACTGTTCTGCTGTCGATATGAAGCCATGGATTCTCGTTTTCTCAGCGGTTTTATAGCTCATACTTTTCTTCTTTTTTAGTTCTAGAATTATCCTAGCCTTGGCAAGAAGGAATTTGTTCAAGATAATTTCTGTGTCCTTATGTGACCCCAGTGCTCCTAGTCACTGAGAAACGCCCTGCTATTTAGTATGACAAGACGTCCCTCGCCGACTTGCGCGTTTCCTGTCTCATAGCTGATGTCAGCTGTTGTTCCTAGGAGCCTTGATGGTTTTAAATGGGAAATGTTGTTAGAAACAAAGATCTGATTGTGCCCATGGAGTGTCTTTGAGGTGTTCTGAGCACCCAGACTAGAAAATACACACAAACACGTGTGAATATACTAACATACATGTACATATTCATACACACATAGACCTGCACACACACTCGTGCGTATGTGCATGTGTGTACACACAGCCATATTTAGAAGTGATGAATTCCTGCAGATGCTTCTGGTTGCGGTCCACCCCTCGGGCGTGTCCTTTCCTCCCTCTGTGCACGGCATCCTTTCTTTCATGGTGTAAACCCTAACTCTGTACAACACCCGCCTGTTTACTTACTTGCTCAGTCCTGTGTGGCCCTGGCGTTGCTTGTTAACTGATTAGCTCACAGCAGCAGAGAAGCAAAGCAGGTGGAAGAGTCCGTGATTTTCTCACTCTTCCCGGAGACGGAGATACGGCGCCGTGTTCGTGAGGTGGTTGGATCAGGGCTTGCTTTCTTTTTTAGTTCATTTGGTTCAGTTCTTAAGTTGCTTTCATGTTTACTGCCCTCTTCACATCCTTGTTA